TATGCTGTCAGTAATAATGGGTAAAAAATATATATATTATTTTACAAAACTGACATAAATCATTTGTAACTACATGATCTGTTACATTTTCAAGAATAAAACACATTATATAGTAAAAGGGACATACTATTTTTAAGAAAACGTCATTATTCATCAATATTTATGTTTAACTATTTGTGGTATATACAGTATGTAAATGTCCCTAACAGGGTGGAACACAATCAGAGACGATGGTGAACAAAACTTCATGTAATTATTATTTTATCCAACCTTGAGCTTGACCATTATTCATTTCTTATTGTTAAACATGTCAGTGTTGTAACAAAATATTTAAAACTTAAAACATTAATTTTTTTTTCACAAGTACTGAAGCCAAAATGTTGCCGCAAAAAAAGAATCACCCACCTGTGAAATACTTATTTTTACTAATTCATCCTACTTGTACCGTTATATTCCACCATGTTGCTGTTTACTATATTTATTTAGGACTTTGTAAATATTATATATCTTTTTCATTTTTTGGTACTTTATTTTATTCCCTTATTGCATGCTTTAGTATTTCTTGTTTATTTATGAGTCGACTCGATTCTTCTCATCCTTAACATTTCATTGCATTGTTGACCTTGTGTTAACCAGCATATGACAAATAAACAACTTAACATTACACTCAAGTGGAGAGGAGCTGAGTTGTCAGCTAGTAGTGAGTTAGATTAAATGGTGGGGAAAGATGCCAGACAGACCTGATAGACCCAAATTTGTAATAAGAGTTTACTGGTAACACCTGGTGGAGGAACCTGTCAGAAGGACCTTCAACCCACACCTCTGGGAGAACTTCATTCAATTCAATTCAAAAATACTTTATTAATCCCAGAGGGAAATTAAGTGTTGTTGCAACTCATCCTCCTGGTTTCATTAAAGAGTTGTTCTAGATGCTGACGGCTGTGGGCAGGAAGGATCTCTTGTAGTGGTCTGTCCTACAACAGATCTGAAGAAGTCTCTGACTGAAGACACTCTGTTGTTGTATGACAGTCTGATGAAGAGGATGTTGAGGGTTGTCTAAAATCTTCCTCATTTTATGAAGAATCCTTCTTTGTACAATCATCTCCAAAGGTTCTGGAGTCCCCAGAACTGAGCCAGCCTTCTTTATGAGCTTGTTAGCACTTTGATAACAGTTTATCTGTTTTAAATTGTGCTCTACAAATAAAGATGACTTGACTTGACTTGACTTGTTGATCTTTTTAAGTCACTTGCTCTGGTGCTGCTCCCCCAGCAGATGATGGTAGAAGAGAGAGCTCTCTCTACAACAGACTTATAGAAACATCCAGCAAAATGGAGGACATTCATTCCATGTAGGCCATGTTCAGTGCCTCTGTTGTTGAAGGGGCTGACTTGAGCTGTGGTTGTAAAGTGGTCACATGACAGTGACTAACAGCAGCCATCCCCATACTTGGTGGTAGACACCCTGGGTGAAAGAGGTTGTCAAGCTGAAGGAGGAGTCCTACTGGGCCTTGTTGGGTGGTAGGTCTTCTGAGGCAGCTGACCGGTATCTGTGAGCTAAGCGAGCTGCAGCCTCAGCTGTTGATGAAGGAAAACGCTTGGATGTAGTTTGGTGAGACCTTTGATAGAGACTCTGGCAAACCTTCAGAGATAGGGAAAGCAGCACTTTAACAACACTTTATAGTGGAGGTCGGGTTCTGTTGCCCTCAACCAATAATGTTGTTGGGTGGTGAAAAGATTATAAAAACATTTCTACCATCATTGCGCCGCTCAAGGTGGCTGCATGTTGAAGCAGCTATTCCTTTAATTCTGGGATATTGCTATTTAAAACTTTATTTCCTCTTTTTCTGGATGTAAATGGCATATTTTGGATCATTACTTCCTATGGTATTGGATGCTGTGCAGCTGAAAGAATTTTTACTGAAACCTTTTTACTTTTGGACATTTGTTATCTATCAGGTTTTTATCAACGACGACCCCCACGTGAGAAGACTGATTCAATAAAGACAGAGCCAGAACTACAAAAGGTAAGTGAACTTTTATTTACAGGTGATCGTGTCGTCGCAGCTTTAAGGGAGAAGAGGAATAGGTGAGTATGGGTTCTGGTGGTCTTTTTAATGTTTTAATTCTTGAATATAGAGAAATGACTCCTTACTGTTTGTGTTGTAGGTGGAGTCCGAGAAGAGGAGAGGTCCTGGGTTTTTGTAGGAGATCCAGTCCTGAGGTATTTTGCGGTGGAGAGAGGAGCAGTTTGACCCAGTTGAGAATGCTTAATGGTGGTTGTTGAAGGGACACCGTTGATCCACAGGTGGAGTCCAGTGGAGCGATGAGATCCTAGGGAGGATCTGAAGAGGCAGGCCGTGGAAGGTCCTGGAGGAGTCACATTTGGTGAGAACCAGCTGTAACAAAGGTTAGTTGGCTGTACACGAGTTACCATTTGGTAGAAGATGTCCCAGCACTGAAGAGGTGTCTGGCAGGTGCTTAAATGCCCCATCAGGCAGTCCTCCTCAGAGCAGCAGCAGGTGGAGTGAGTTGAGGTTAATTGGCTGTGGAAGGAAGAGTGAGTGACAGACAAAAAACCCAGGAATCCCACAGTGCCCTTACCCCCCCCCCCCCCCCCCCCCCCAACCCACCCCCTCCCACCCCCCAGGAATAGCCTCTTGGCGATCTATGTCTCTTTTCGGGGTGAGCTTGGAAGAAGGATGAGATGAGTCCGGGGTCCAGGATCTGAAATCTAGGAATCCATGATTGTTCCTCCGGACCATAACCCTCCCAATCCACCAGGTATTGGACTCCCCGACCACGACGCCGTACGTCCAAAAGGCATCGGACCGAGAAGGTCGGTTCATTGTCTATGAGACGTGGGGGAGGAGGGAGGTTGATCGGAGGGTGTAGAGGGCTGGTGATTACCGGTTTGATGTGAGATACATGAAAGGTAGGGTGTATCTTCATGGCAGGTGGGAGCTTTAGACGCACCGCCGACCGGTTAATCACCTTTATCACAGGAAACGGCCCGATGAACCTGGGGGAGAGTTTCCTGGGGGTGTCTTTTAAGGTTATGTCCTTGGTAGACAGCCATACCTTTTGACCGACCTTGTAGTCAGGAGCCTTGGATCGACGTCTGTCAGCGAAGCGTCTGTTCTGCTCCGAAGATCTGGACAGAGCTGCTCTCGTCTGGCGCCAGATCCGACGGCAGCGTTTGATGTGAAGGTGGACCGAGGGGACGCCCACATCAGGCTCCTGTGAGGGGAACAGCGGAGGAGCGAAGCCCATAGCGACCTCGAAAGGAGATTTTCCAGTGGCTGCAGAAGTTTGTGAGTTGTGGGCATACTCAATCCAAGGCAGATGTTGACTCCAGGATGAGGGATTGCTGTAAATTACGCACCTCAGAGCTGTTTCCAGGTCCTGGTTGCAACGTTCTGTTTTGCCGTTGGATTGAGGGTGGTATCCAGATGTGAGGCTGGTAGTTGCTCCCAAAGCTCGACAAAACCCTCTCCACACTTGAGAAACAAATTGTGGTCCACGGTCGGAGACGATGTCCTGAGGGATGCCGTGAAGGCAAAAGACATTTTCCGTGACAATCTGAGCAGTCTCAAGAGCAGAGGGAAGTTTAGGTAGAGGAATGAAATGTGCAGACTTGGAAAAACGGTTTACAATGGTGCAGATAACAGTGTTACCATCAGAGACGGGGAGACCAGTGACGAAGTCCAGGGCGATGTGTGACCAGGGACGGCTGGGGATGGGAAGTGGTAGCAACAGGCCAGCAGGGGGCTGGTTGCTGTGCTTGTTCCAAGCACAAGTGGGACAGGTTGAAATGAAATCCTTAACATCTTTACTAAGGTTAAGCCACCAAAAGGATGCTTTAACAAGGTGCACCATGCGTCTAACACCAGGGTGGCAGGAAAACCTAGCTGTATGGATCCACTTCAACACTTTACCCACCATGACCGTAGGAACAAACATCTTTCCCGGAGGGCCAGTACCGGGATCAGGCTCAGTCTGTTGGGCCTCCAGGATGTCTTTCTCAATAGGCCAAGTCATTACACCCACCTTACTGGAGGAAGGAAGGATGTTCTCAGGGGTGTCTGGACCCTCAACTGTAAAGAATTGTCATGAGAGAGCATCCGGTTTTACATTGCGGGACCCTGGAATATACGTGATGGAAAAATTAAATCTAGCAAAAAACAACGACCATCTGGCCTGTCGGGCGTTAAGTCTCTTAGCCCCCTGGAGGTAGGCTAGGTTCATGTGGTCGGTCCAAATTATGAAGGGGAGTTCAGCTCCCTCTAGCCAATGTCTCCACTCTTCTAATGCTAGCTTGATGGCCAATAACTCACGGTCGCCAACATCATAGTTCGTGAGCTTGTCTCAGCAGCAGACAAATAACGTGAGAAAAAGGCACATGGGTGAAGTTTTCCATCGTTAGATGCTCTTTGTGATAACACGGCCCCCACTTCTGAATCAGAAGCGTCGACCTCCACGATAAACTACCTCTTGGTATCAGGGTGTGATAAAATGGGGGCTGTAGAGAAAAGGTGCTTGAGGTTGTTAAAAGCAGTGTCAGCTTCGGGTGTCCAGTTGAACTTTTTGAGGGTAGAGGTGAGCTGGGTCAGAGCCAGTTGAACTTTTTGAGGGTAGAGGTGAGCTGGGTCAGAGGAGTGGCGACTTTGCTATAGTTTTTAATAAACCGTCGGTAAAAGTTAGCAAACCCCAGGAACCGTTGTAATTGTTTTCTATTGCTGGGTGTAGGCCACTCCACTACAACCTTGGTCTTTTCAGGGTCGGATCGAACCTGTCCTCTCTCAAAAATGAACCCTAGAAATGTCACGGTGGTAGCGTGAAATTCACATTTCTCTGCCTTGACAAAAAGCTGGTTTTCTACTAACCTCTGGAGAACAGCTTTCACATGTCGAGTATGCTGCTCTTCGTCTTTGGAATAGATGAGTATATCGTCTAAGTACATGAAAACGAAGACGTTGAGGAAATCCCGAAGAACGTCATTAACGAGAGCTTGGAAAACTGCCGGGGCATTAGTTAACCCAAACGGCATAACAAGGTACTCGAAATGTCCCAAAGGTGTCTTAAAAGCTGTCTTCCATTCGTCTCCTTTGCGAATTCTCACTAAATGATACGCATTGCGTAGATCAAGTTTAGTAAAAATGGTTGCCCCCTGGAGCTGCTCGTAGACAGAGTCGATTAAAGGAAGAGGATATTTGTTCTTAATAGTAATTTGACTAAGTCCTCTATAATCAATGCATGGTCTTAGAGTCTTCTCTTTCTTTGAAATAAAGAAGAAACCGACCCCCACTGGAGAGGTAGAAGGATGGATGATGCCTGATTTTAAAGAGTCATCAATATAGTCTTTCATAGAAAATTTTTCAGGCCCAGATAAGTTATATAGTCTACTTGTGGGTAATGGAGCTCTAGGAAGTAAGTCGATAGTGCAATCATATGGACGGTGTGGCGGTAGGGATAAACCCTTCTGTTTGCTGAAGACTGGCGCCATCATGTGGTAATTTGAAGGTATCATTGAAAGATCGATGTCTTCAATTTTTAGTTTAGGAGGTGAACCTGAAGAGATGGCTGAGCGGAGGCATCTCAAAGAACATTTTTCTCCCCACTTTTCAACTCTATTTTCGGCCCAGTTAATTTGAGGATTGTGTAATTTGAGCCAGGGATGACCCAAGATGAGTTGTGGTGTAGGAGAGTCAAAAAAAAATAATCTCACCCGTCTCTGTGATTTCCAGATACTACAAACATTACTTTTAATGTCTTTAATGAGATGGAAGAGATGGTTTGCCCAGTGAGAGCAGAGACGGTGATAGCTGGTGTTAAGTTGATAGTGAGGATATGTAGTTCCTCCACCAAGTTTCTGCTGATTAGGTTCTGTTCAGCACCGGAATCAATCAACGCCTAGATAAGAAAGTTGACAGAGTTAATGCAAATGATTGCTGAAAGACAGATTCTTTTCAGGAGACAAAGAAGTGGTACCAACCAGCATCTCCTGTACTACTGGTGGGCCTTGTCTTTTACCCGTAGTTTGCAGGCAGCAATCACATGATCCTTTTTCCCACAGTACATGCAGGTGTTAGCCTTGAGGTGGCGCAGTTGCTCCTCAGGAGAAAGTCGAGTCATACCAATCTGCATAGGTTCGGGTTCAGAGGTGGAATCCGCGGTTGCGGAGTCATTACTTCCGGGAAGAGGAAGTTTGTGGGACTTGTAGTCCTCTTCTAAGAGGCTCTCCCGAACCCTGTTGTCTATTCGAATGGCCAGAGAAATTACGTCGTCCAAATCCGAAGGGATGTCCCGGGTGACTAGTTGATATTTAATCTGTTGATTTAAAGCGTTAATAAATGCACTGCGTAATGCTATCTCACCCCAGCTGGACTCCTCGGCGATGATGCGGAAGTGGATGGAGAATTTGGACACCGTCTCTTTCCCCTGACGTAACGTAAAAAGTTTTTGGATGCTTCCTCCTGTTGCAAAGGGTGGTCAAAGACCCGAAGAAAATCCTTCAAGAAGGTAGCAAACGTCAGAGTTTCGATGGGGCGTCTACGAAGGTAAGCATGTGCCCACTGAAGCACTTCTCCTTTTAAAGCACTAACCACATAAGTTATGCGAGCAGAATTGGATGAATAGGTAATGGGAGCATGATTAAATGCCAAGTTACACTGGAGAACGAAGCCACCACATTTGCGTGTGTTACCTTCGAACATCTCAGAAGGTCGAATGTCCGGTTCCTTGGGGCATGGATTGTTCATCCTAATTGTAGGTTCCAGAGGGATAGGCTGAGTCGAAGATGAAGCTTGGTCCACCATTTGTTTCTGAAGAGAGAACACCATACCACCCAACTCCCGTAGATTGTCCTGAGTTGTTTGTTGCTGCACAACAATCTGCTGTAAAGTTAAGTGGAGAGGGTCAGTGTTTACTTTTGTTTCTAACTGAGTCTTTACCTCCTCAGTCTTGCTCAGGGCTGGGACATACTATCAGGTTTTTATCAACATCGACCCCCACGTGAGCAGACTGATTCAATAAAGACAGAGCCAGAACTACAAAAGGTAAGTGAACTTTTATTTACAGGTGATCATGTCGTCGCAACTTTAAGGGAGAAGAGGACTAGGTGAGTATGGGTTCTGGTGGTCTTTTTGAATGTTTTAATTCTTGAATATAGAGAAATGACTCCTTACTGTTTGTGTTGTAGGTGGAGTCCAAGAAGAGGAGAGGTCCTGGGTTTTTGTAGGAGATCCAGTCCTGAGGTATTTTGCGGTGGAGAGAGGAGCAGGTTGACCCAGTTGAGAATGCTTAATGGTGGTTGTTGAAGGGACACCGTTGATCCACAGGTGGAGTCCAGTGGAGCGATGAGATCCTAGGGAGGATATGAAGAGGCAGGCCGTGGAAGGTCCTGGAGGAGTCACAGTTGGTGAGAACCAGCTGTAACAAAGGTTAGTCGGCTGTACACGAGTTACCATTTGGTAGAAGATGTCCCAGCACTGAAGAGGTGTCTGGCAGGTGCTTAAATACCCCATCAGGCAGTCCTCCTCAGAGCAGCAGCAGGTGGCGTGAGTTTAGGTTAATTGGCTGTGGAAGGAAGAGTGAGTGACAGACAAAAAACCCAGGAATCCCACATTATGAAGCGTAACCCTGGCAACAAGGTGGTTTTTACAACTGGGAGCAGCATTAACATATCAAAGTGCAAATATTGCCTCAAATATAGTCCAAATCCCAAATGAGTTCTAATGGAGATGCCATGGATGTATCTCTGTCTACCTGGCAGAGGTGCTCGAATGACTTACTGCTGAGATCTTTGGAGCTGGCAGAAAACATGGCTCATGACAACAAGAAGACCAGGATCATCCCCCGACACCTGCAGCTGGCTTTCTGCAATGATGAGGAGCTCACTAAGCATCTACCAGGAGTGGCCATCACTCAAGGAGTTCTGCACAACATTCAGGTGATCCTACTGCCCAGGAGAATCAAGAGGCCCACTGGGTCTGGGTGGAAGAATCGGCATTGGCAACCAGTGTTGTAATGAGGAGTTACCCAAGTGAACAGACTGAGAGGCAAACAGAACCAAACTCAAACGTAATTGAAAAAGTTTATTTTACAGTGAGAGGAAAAAAATAACTATTTACAAAACAGGATCTTGGTCTGTGAAGACAGAGGAGGAGGATTACTTATTGACGAGGAGATGATCCAATAACGGAATACTCAGGTCTTTGACAAGCTTACAGTGAAGGTAGTTTGTATGGCTGTTGGAAAGGCTGAGGGTTTTTCTCCTTCCAGGATGATGACCAGGTGGACTGCAAAGGCAAGTGATGGAAGGTGTGTGCAGGCAGCTGAGCACCAGGAAACACAGGTAAGTATATCCTCAGGGACCTCTTCAATACTTCAAAAATAGGACAGGATCCAGGACATCAAGACTCTGAAAATGTGGACACAAAACAAGGTAAGTCTTCACAATCTTTGAACACTATACAGGGCTGGAGGCATATGTACCGGCAAGTAGAACAATGCTCCAGCACTGACTGGAGCTCAACTGGAGCCTTAAGTATTCCTGGCATCAATTAGGGAAACTGGTCTCAGCTGCGGCTGCTCATCAGCGCCGCCCCTGCCTTCAGGAACCTGGTGGAAGGAAAATGTCAAAACCCTACAACCAGTTTCTCCAGATTCGCTGCAGGATGGACTGCTGCAGATCCTTCCTGCCCACAGCCATCAGTATCTACAAACCGGATTCCAAAAAAGTTGGGACACTAAACAAATTGTGAATAAAAACTGAATGCAATGATATGGAGATGGCAAATGTCAATATTTTATTCGTAATATAACATAGATGACAGATCAAAAGTTTAATCTGAGTAAATGTAATATTTTAAAGGAAAAATATGTTGATTCAAATTTCACAGTGTCAACAAATCCCAAAAAAGTTGGGACAAGTAGCAATAAGTGGCTGGAAAAAGGAAATTGAGCATATAATGAACAGCTGGAAGACCAATTAACACTAATTAGGTCAATTGACAACATGAATGGGTATAAAAAGAGCTTCTCAGAGTGTCAGTGTCTCTCAGAAGCCAAGATGGTAAGAGGATCACCAATTCCACCATTGTTGCGCAGAATGATAGTGCAACAATACCAGAATGGTGTTACCCAGCGTAAAATAGCAAAGACTTTTAAATTATCATCATCAACCATGCATAACATGATCAAAAGATTCAGAGAATCTGGAACAATCGCTGTGCGTAAGGGTCAAGGCCGTAAAACTCTACTGGATGCTCGTGATCACCGGGCCCTTAAACGTCACTGCACCTCAAACAGGAATGCCACTGTCAAGGAAATAACAGAATGGGCTCAGGAATACTTCCAGAAAGCATTGTCAGTGAACACAATCCACCGTGCCATCCGCCGTTGCCAGCTGAAACTCTACAGTGCAAAGAGGAAGCCATTTCTAAGCAAGCTCCACAAGCTCAGACGTTTGCACTGGGCCAGGGGTCATTTAAAATGGAGTGTAGCAAAATGGAAGACTGTTCTGTGTGTGGTCAGATGAGTCACGATTTGAAGTTCTTTATGGAACACTGGGATGCCATGTCATCCGGACCAGAGAGGACAAGGATAGCCCAAGTTTTTATCAATGCTCTGTTCAGAAGCCTGCATCACTGATGGTATGGGGTTGCATGAGCGCTTGTGGCATGGGCAGCTTGCATGTCTGGAAAGGCACCATTAATGCAGAGAACTATGTTGAGGTTCTAGAACAACATATGCTCCCATCTAGATGTCATCTCTTTCAGGGAAGACCCTGCATTTTTTTAACACGATAATGCCAGACCACATTCTGCAGCAATCACAACATCATGGCTACGTAGGAGAAGGATCCGTGTACTAAAATGGCCAGCCTGCAGTCCAGATCTTTCACCTATAGAGAACATTTGGTGCATCATAAAGAGGAAGGTGCGACAAAGAAGGCCCAAGACGATTGAACAGTTAGAGGCCTGTATTAGACATGAATGGGAGAGCATTCCTATTTCTAAACTTGAGAAACTGGTCTCCTCTGTCCCCAGACGTCTGTTGAGTGTTGTAAGAAGAAGGGGGATGCCACACAGTGGTAAAAACGGACTTGTCCCAACTTTTTTGGGATTTGTTGACGCCATGAAATTTGGAAACAACAGATTTTTCCCTTAAAATGATACATTCTCTCAGTTTAAACTTTTGATCTGTGATTTGTGTTCTATTCTGAATAAAATATTAGATGTTGGCACCTCCACATCTTGCATTCAGTTTTTATTCACAATTTGTTTAGTGTCCCAACTTTTTTGGAATCCGGTTTGTACTTTGTATAACAACTCTTAATGAAACCAAGATGATGAGCTACAACAACATTCACTTTCCTTTTGAGATTAATAAAGTATTTTGAATTTACTTTTTGAATGTATTTCATGGAGGAAGCTAAGTCAGGATGTTTGGGGCTTGGTCTGTCCATGACTGTGGCTGAGGTTGTGAAGTATTTAAAAAGCTCCATGATGGCAGGACTCTAGAGGTGGACAAGATCCACCCTGAGTTTCTCAAGGCTCTGGATGTTGCTAGGTTGCGTTGATTGACGTGCCTTTGCAACATCCCGTGAGCATCAGGGGAAGTGCCATTGAGGTGGTTCCCCTGTCCAAAAAGAGGGAATAGTGAGTGTATTTGAATTACAGCGGCATCACTCTCCATAGCCTCTCCGGTAAGATCTATTAGGGGTGCTGGAGAAGAGTGTGATTGTTGTTTGAACCTTTGTTCAGGAGGAACAAGACAAGGTCCATCCTGGTTGTGGAACACTGTAGCAACTTTTCCCCCTCACTCTAGTGTCATCAAGGGAGCATGAGAGTTAGCACATCCAATCTACTTAGGTTTTGTGGACTTGGAAAAGGCATTCCACCATGTTCTTCAAAGTAAACTGTGGGGGGTACTCTTAGGGCTTTAACAGTCTACTTGAGTAATCTACACATCGATTCCTAGGACATCTATTGAGTTTTTAAATTTCACGTCGAGTATTTGTGGTGACATCATTACGTCGCCAAACGGATTCCTCCAAGTGGACGGATGGTGCAAAGCAGGCCCAGTCTTGGCAAACAGGTAAAAATGCATCAATAGTCTGGAAATATTTCACTAAAGATGAATCTTCTGGTTAAACTACCGAAAGGAAACGGAAAATGAATCAACTTCCTGACTGTTTGGAGCTCGTTGCGAACCGGTGTTACACCATATTTTGTGACCGTAGGGGGCGGTGTTGCATGCACTGTTGCAGGTCACAGAATATGATGTAACACTGGGTCCAATCGACCGAACTAGTACCAGCTTCCTCTGACCTTGTTTCACAAACAAAAGGCAAAAAACATTAATCTCTAAACCTATAAAAAACCTATAAACATATTAATCTCTAAAACTAAACCTAATGCGCAACACTGCGGGCGGTGGTGCGGGGTGGTCGTCTGCCCCACTGTTTTTAGTTTCGTTTTTTACGTGCCGCACGTTTCTTTCAGTTTTGCAGCTTAATAACAATAACTAATAGTTTTGGTTTTCCTGTGACTTATTTGCATTATGATAAATGGTAGGAGCATAATATATACTCCCAATGTTTCGTTGGTCCTTTTTTGGTAAATAATAAATGACTTTTTTTGCGGTTTTAATTATTTATTTATTTTTGCATCTTGAGATCCTATGGCGTCATCAACTACTCGAGTTCTGCTCGAGTTTTATTATGTTAATGCCGAGTTTAAAAATTATGTAGTCATTCAACCCCTAGTCCCTATACGTGCAGTGTGAGAGTTTGGTTTACTTTGTTGACAGTAAGTCAGACCCCTTCAGGGTGGGA